CATTAAGTCAAGCCAGCCAGTTTTTGTCAGAAGTCAGATAGTGAGAGCTGCTCCACTATATGATTACGTGTTCAAATGTTATTTGAAACGGCACGATTATTATATACACTCACATGTCTATTCTTTTTGTGAAGCTATTTCTAAGCTCTAGTAGTGTTTACGTCTATTGAGTTTATTAGGCTTTACGGATTGTTGTTAGATTAGAGTGTACTGATTTTTTTTTATTTGGTTATGTTGTAATGTTATTTTTATATGTTGTTATGCCGCCAGACAAATGTTCAGCACGTATAAATTTGGGATTGAGGTTTTTTTTAATGGAAGGTACCTCTGTCTGAATACTTGTCTGCGCGGGCACTAAGATAGTCACGTAAAACCATTGCTCATGGTCTCGTAATACAATTTCAGACCCACCAGCGCTATTCAGAATGAGACGAGATGAAGCCGACACTTCAAAGAGTGCCGCCACCTGAAACCCTGATTACGTTGAATTACCTGGACAGCGAACAGCCCTGCCGAACGGAGAATTGCCCTGGTCAAGACAACGGACGCATCGCCACCGCTTCGCCCCCGCACTGGAGTTGAATAACAGACCGCCAGCTACGTACACCTACGTCGGCACATACAAAGGGTAGAAGACCCATCGTCCAAGTTCCCAGCGTCGGAATGTTACGTCATTGTTCACCAGCGCATCAGACAGCTCCAGTTCATCGTATAACCACTCTACGTGGACGTCTCAACCAGCGTTGAGTTTGTTGCGTCATCACATTGACCAACGAAAGTTACGCCTACACCCGCCTCACGGGAACTTACGTAGACCAACGCCACAACCCACCCACCACAGATGAACGCCAATAATTACATAACACTTACACACACACACACTTACACTGCTCGCAGAGCCCGTTCAACCAGTTACACATTACCACTACATTCACTCAAGGCCAGTACACGACAACCTAGCCAGAACTGAGTTGCACATGATTGGATTCACACATACCATGAAACATAGACATACATTATCAAGCAGAGACACCACAGACGTCAGGATACTTGCACGAGAACTAGAACAATGACATTTTTTTTCAGGAACACAGACACAAGATTTATGTTTTTGTAAACTGTGCTGTCCCATTTTGTATTTGATTTATATGATTGATGTTAGGGATAGAATAGAGTAGTAAGATAGATAGTTGTTGATGTATTAGATTAGTAGCAGACGCTGAAAAATATAATTTGTCAGCTACAGAAAGGGAGGGAGATATGTGATGACGCAAGATTACGTCAGACATGTTTAGCAGATATAGGTTAGCAGAAACAGACGATAGGCCTAGTTGGTTGGGTAGAGAGGCCAATGGGCGCACAGGGCTGACCGGTCACGTGGGACGGTCAGCTGACCACTGAGGCGTGGGGCAGGAGAGCGATAGGCGAGGACGGTGTTAGGTAGCGGTCAGAGACGGCCGAGAATGTAGATAGTTAGGAGATCATGATTAGATAGCGAAGAGTAGAGAAGGTGTTAGGTTGTAGAATGTAGATAGTGTTAGGATTGGTCGTGGGAGTTAGTAGTATAGTGAACAGTCAGTAGTAGAAGTAAATAGTACAGTGTAGATCAGTTAGGTAGAAACTTGAACATATATATCATTTTAATAAAGAACAATTATAGTTGAACTTGAACTGCGTGTTGTTGGATTCATTCGTTACGCCTTCTTAAAAAAATCCCCACCCTCACACTGCCCGTGGGTTCGAACTCAAGACTTTTCGGTTTAGCGACCACGAGCTTTACAAACTCGACCACGCCGACGCTGTTGACTCCGATTTCAGCCTACTTTTGTTTCTGGATTTGTTTCTATAGCCTTCGACCCCCCCCCCCCCCCTAAATAAATTTAGTTTGGTGTACCCTTACCCTGACCACACACACACACACACACACACATACATACACACACATACACTCTCTCTCTCTCTCTCACACACACACACACAAACAAAACGACAAGGCTTGGGGTCAGTATTCAACCGACGAACGGGACCAGTTTAAACAAATAATTCTGGGCTGAAGTCATCCTAATTCTAATGGTCTGCGGTCATCCGAACACGAACGGGCTGCGGTCATTCTAGGTCATCCTAACACGAACGGGCTGCGGTCATTCTAGGTCATCCTAACACGAACGGGCTGCGGTCATCGAACACGAACGGGCTGCGGTCATCGAACACGAACGGGCTGCGGTCATTCTAGGTCATCCTAACACGAACGGGCTGCGGTCATCCGAACACGAACGGGCTGCGGTCATTCTAACACGAACGGGCTGCGGTCATCCCAACACGAACGGGCTGCGGTCATTCTAGTTCATCCCAACACGAACGGGCTGCGGTTATCCTAACACGAACGGGCTGCGGTCATTCTAACACGAACGGGCTGCGGTCATTCTAACACGAACGGGCTGCGGTCATCCCAACACGAACGGGCTGCGGTCATCCCAACACGAACGGGCTGCGGTCATTCTAGTTCATCCTAACACGAACGGGCTGCGGTCATTCTAACACGAACGGGCTGCGGTCATCCGAATACGAACGGGCTGCGGTCATCCTAACACGAACGGGCTGCGGTCATCCTAACACGAACGGGCTGCGGTCATCAGAACACGAACAGGCTGCGGTCATTCTAGGTCATCCTAACACGAACGGGCTGCGGTTATCCTAACACGAACGGGCTGCGGTCATCCTAACACGAACGGGCTGCGGTCATCAGAACACGAACAGGCTGCGGTCATTCTAGGTCATCCTAACACGAACGGGCTGCGGTCATCCTAACACGAACGGGCTGCGGTCATCTGAACACAAATAGGCTGCGGTCATCCTAGCACAAAGGACTGCGGTCATCCTAACACGAACGGGCTGCGGTCATTCTAGGTCATCCTAACACGAACGGGCTGCGGTCATCCGAACACGAACGGGCTGCGGTCATTCTAGGTCATCCTAACACGAACGGGCTGCGGTCATCCGAACACGAACGGGCTGCGGTCATTCTAGGTCATCCTAACACGAACGGGCTGCGGTCATCCTGACAATAACGGGCTGCGGTCATCCGAACACGAACGGGCTGCGGTCATCCGAACACGAACGGGCTGCGGTCATCCGAACACGAACAGGCTGCGGTCATCCGAACACGAACAGGCTGCAGTCATCTGAACACAAATGGGCTGCGGTAATACGAAAGCTGGGTTGAGGAAATTTCATAAATAAGTATTACATCGAATTTGTAGTTCTGTAGCAACTTTTCAGCGATTTCAGATAAACGGAAATAAGTTGAGTACTGTTTCTGATTGATAGATGAAGTTTTACATAAGTAAAGAAGAAGAAGACATAAGTAAAAGATCTAATTTTGTTTTCTGTCAAATTTTGAGTAATTTCCGGTGATCGGAAGTTGTACTTAACGCTATTTCCGATTTCTCAAAAACGAATATGAATTTATAAACTACTAATTTTCCGCACTGTTATACAGACCTGTTCATTTGGTGTGCAATTCGTTTTTCTATGAGATTCAATTCTATTTTTTTAAAGTTTAAGTATTTAAAAATAGATTAAAAATCATGTCAATATCCCGACTTGCTATTCCCCGCAGTGTTCTATAAGAATATTCAAGACAGTTTAGGGAAGATGTTAATTAACTTGCCATGATCGCTTAAATCTTGGGATTTACAATTTAAATGTAGATCTATGATTTAGAATACTACGTTCGTGAAATTCTTTTCTTTTATTTATTAATTTTTTTAAAGAGTTCGATCATTTATTTACTTTATTACAAAGCTATAATTTAAGTTCTCAGACCAGCAGGCGGTGCTCTACCAGCAAAGGTAGGAGTTGGCTGTGTCACTTGTAGATGAGGGAGGTTGGCAAAGTTAAGAGCCTTTGACATCTCCTTTGTAACTGGATCAATCTCAATTAAGTCAAGTTTCAGGGCTCATACCTCATGGACATAGTTATCTCTTCTCCCTCTTTCTTTTTCTTGAAGTTTAATAGAGATGTTGCGAACTGGGCCTTTCTGGATCCTCTTCATCAAATGTGTAACAAACCCAGCCATCGTGTTCCTGAGCTTTTTGCTTGGTATAATGGCAATTTCTTCACGTACTCTCTTGTTGGTGTGAAAGTCAGCAGTGAGCCTGGTGTAATATTTTTTCAATAATCACTCAGGCAGCCCTTTTCACTGTTTTGGTCCTCACACTAGCCATTTTGGTTGTGTTCGGTTTTTTTTTAAGCACAGTACACATTTATTTATGAAAAAAATTTGAAATCCTGGTTCACTTCTGAATAAAGCAAACCGCACCAGTTGATAGGTACAAGTTTAAACCTAGAACAATTGAGTTTTAAATAAATTTGACTATACGTAGAGTCAGGGATTGTAACGCTTCAATCAATGATTCAGGATTTTTAAAGTCCTGGTCCCTTAATTTTTAAAAATTCTTATATCAAACAAATTTTAGTTGATCATAGTAAGTTATAAGTAACAATTATAAAATGATAAAAATAAATTAAAAAATAACATTTTACAATAAGAAACATTCACCTTTGTATTTAGATGCTGTGTAAATTTTACTCATTTTTAAATTTCTTAATTAAAAAAAAAACCAAAACAAATGCTTCAATTTTAAAATTACCAAAATTTCAATTTTCAGTAAACTCTGTTTTTATTTGATTAAATTCGTCCGTGGTTGTGTTAGGGTTTTTTTTTAATACTTTTATTTGCAATTAAAACAAGTACATCAACATCAAATTTTTTAACATAATTTTGAACACCAAATGAAAACGAAAGGCTTTGCAAATGTACATAATGAATATTTACATGATGTCATGTATTTGATTATAAAAAAATTGCAAAGGATGGTTGTGTTAGGTTAATTTTTTTTTTTTTTAAATATTTGATCTGTACAAAAACACCGATATTTAGTTAAATGTAGGCTGTTATTCCGAATGTTTTTTTTTTTTTGTGTTAGGTTTTTTTTTTCAATATCAGTAAATTTTAATACAATTTGTCTTTATCAAAAAACAAGAGTGAAAAATAATATACAAGAGTATAAAACTAAAAATTCACAATAAGTCAAGCTTGTTTATATAGTGACTTCACTGTATTCTTCTGTGGTCAAATTTTTCCAACACTACCAATGGTTTCAGCTGCTCTGCAAAGTTTTTCATATCTTCCCCAATCTGTTCTTGTCCCAATGGTGCAACTACACTCAACTCTACAAGGTGGGACTGACCAAGTGCTTCAAGGTTTTGGACATCAGTCTTGCCAGGCTGGACCAGTCAGGAGCATCAGGATGATCAAGTGCATGACGCACACGAAACAATACAAACTGATTCTGTTGGGTGGTGGTAGAATTTCTCAACATGTAAACAGCCTCATAATCATGGAAATGTTCAAAATTGCTCTCAGCATTGTCACAAAGTCCCCTTAATCTACGAAGTAATACATCTCTGTGGTTGTCAAAAATACTGCCCTGTAACAAATACTCCTGTTGAGGAGCTATATTTTTTAGAGAAGGTGCTAGTGAGGCTGTTTCCATTTCATAAATCCAATAATGAGCATTTATTTGCAGTTTTCGAGTTTTATTTTTTTTTTTTTCTGAAACATTTAGAAAGATAAGTAAGACATATCAGCACTATGCCATGACGAGTTTTATAAGAGCTAAACAATGGAAATATGTGTTTTTTCAAGCAACTTATAATGAAATGAAAATTTATTTGTAAAGATAATATTAAAGTAAGTTTACAGTTCAATGTTTTTACATTTTATAAACATATTATATTGATTTTTATAAAAAGAAAATGCAATTAACGTATTATTGGAATAACTCTTATGCAAAATTGTAATTTTAAAATATCAACGTTTTAATTAATTTTAAAAGCATTATGTTTACACATATTGTTGATGGTACATTAGTCTGAAGTTGTTTCCCCTAATAAAAATTTTCTACTTACAAGGGAAATAAGTAGCAAACGAAATCGGAACTAAGGCTATTTTTTATGTAACGACCGATACAGAAAGCTCATTATTTTAATAATCTACTTGTAAACATCTGAATTTGTTCTCATAGATCAGACAAAGAGACCCGATTTAATAGACACGTTTCATTGTCAATTGTGAAAGAAATGTTAGATTCTTTATCCTTCTTTATCCTATTCCGGTATCATATATATATATATATATATATATATCTATAATATAAGCGGGCTGAGAGTGTGTCAGTCCTTCCTTCCTTCCTTCTGTCATCGCTATAGCTTTTGGAACCATAAAAGTAAACATCGCACCATGCTGTGCTTCTCAGTGCACCGCAGTGTATTTTTATAAGTATTAGAGTAGGGTTTGTTTATATAACGACATAGAGCTATTTTATAATTGCCACTGTGTTTACTCTTTTGCATAACTTAAAAAAAATATTAAATACACGCACATTGCTAAAACATATTAAACGAATCAATGTCAAATATCATTTTCGTTTAGATTCCCAGAAAAAGTGGATACATTTCAATAACATAATAACAGTACGGTAGAAAAATCAAATTAATTTAACTCTTTTCTAATTTTGACAAAGGAGGTAATTTAAAAATACATTAAACTCACGCTAATAAAAAATGTGAATGCAAATATACGTTCGTCATAGAAGGAATTAGTGTTGCAATAATATAATTAGCAAAATGTGAATGCAAATTATTCGGATGTGTAAGAGAAAATTATTGTTAGAAAATTATAATTAGCATGGATTGATAAAAGGCAATCTTTTATTTATTTTATTCACTGAATGTAGGCCCTACTGTTTATTACTTATAATTTTTAATCAACTATTCAGCACTATTATAGACGCGTCATCACGTTCATTAGGTGCGCATTGGTTTTAGTTATGAAACTATATTGTAAATTTGTAAAATTTAAAGTACTGGAAAAAAAATGCGTGAATGGATAAAGTGAAATATTGTAGGTAAAACACGGATATTTTAAATACTGCCTATTATTTATACTGTTTACTAATTATTATTCTATCTTTCGGTTTGAGGACAAGCTAGGGGTTTTATAGGAGAGGCGTAGCGAGGGGAGGGCATATGTCCCCGGGTGCCGACCTTAGGGGGCGCCAAATTGGGTTGGAAAAAATTTGCGAGGGGGGGGGGGGTGGAAATCGAAAGTTTTAGGGGGGTGCAAATCACCGGAAAGGGCGCGATTTGGCGCTACGGACAAACTGTGAGCAATATGCCTTTATGATTGCATTTAAATTGTGTTTATGTTATGAGTGTTGTGTTTGTTTTTTCGTTTGTGTTTTTTTTTTTGCGTTCGTTTGTGTTGTGTTTAGTTTTGTTCTGTTCCCAAGTTGGTACATTTAAAAAAGATTTACCGTGGCGGAGCACGGGATGCAGCTAGTATATATATATATATATATATATATATATATATATATATATATATATATATATATATATATATATATATATATATATATATATATATATATATATATATATATATATATGAGTGAGAGAGAGGGGGGGGGGTGAGATTGTTTGTGTAGAAATATTGAGCTGGAAACATTACTTCCCCTTTGCGGCACTATTTATTCTGCACACTACTCCTGTAATCTATTGTGTTATTGGAGAACATTCAAAGTGCTGTGTACTAATAAAACAAAAATCAAGAACACAGTAAGGCAAATGTAAATGTCACACATTTTAATTTAAATCAACAACGTCACACATTTAATTCATAGTCAAAATTGTCACAAATTTTAGGTAAAAAATAATTTTAAAAATCCTTTAGAATTTATTTTAAAGAAAAAAAATCAATTTTCAAATTTGTATTTTTGATTTGTAGTCACTACCTGTTGAACAAATAGAGTCTAGGTTTTGAAAAAGTTGGATCTAGGAGTCTGTTTTATATTGGAACACATTTGGCATTACAGCTACACGGCCTGAAAGAACGAAAGTTTTTTTAAAGAATTTATGCAAGTAAATCTCAAGCTAAAATTTAAATAAGTGATTTCATTAAAAGCCAAAAATAGCTGGATCAAAACGGTGAGTTTAAATCAATTACAATATAATTAACATTGTCGTTGGAAGTGGCACTGTTACCAGGTTGTATCGAGTTCTTGGGTTTTCTCAGTAATTATGAGTACCCGGGATGAATCGGGGAGAGCAACGGCGACTGCCCGCAAACTTCGATTCCCGAGGTAACAAAATCAGAAAAATTCTACTTCACCTGCCCATATTGTCAACCAGGTTTTATTAATTTACTACATTTTAAATTATTATTTTTTTTTAAATCTGAGTTATTAATAGACTCAAACGTTATTGATGGTGGTAAAGTTTAAAATCCAACAGACAAGAGTGTCTGAACTTTGAACTTTGAACTTACACACAGCGCTCGGTGTCGGAGCATGGGTTGATCATACAAGGGTTTGGGCAGGGCATAGTGTTAAAACAGATCTCAGCAACTGAAAGAAATAAACACAGTGTTAAAACAGATCTCAGCCACTGAAAGAAATAAACACAGTGTTAAAAAGGCCGTTGAAAGATATAAACACGATGTTAAAACAGATCTCAGCAACTGAAAGAAATAAACATAGTGTTAAAACAGATCTCAGCCACTGACAGAAATAAACACAGTGTTAAAACAGCAGTTGAAAGATATGAACACGATGTTAAAACAGATCTCAGCCACTGAAAGAAATAAACATAGTGTTAAAACAGAAATTGAAAGATATAAACACGATGTTAAAACAGATCTCAGCAACTGAAAGAAATAAACATAGTGTTAAAACAGATCTCAGCCACTGAAACAATAAACAGTGTTAAAACGGCAGTTGAAAGATATAAACACGATGTTAAAACAGATCTCAGCAACTGAAAGAAATAAACATAGTGTTAAAACAGATCTCAGCCACTGAAACAATAAACAGTGTTAAAACGGCAGTTGAAAGATATAAACACGATGTTAAAACAGATCTCAGCAACTGAATGAAATAAAGACAAAAAGTTCTTAAAATACGATGCTTAATGAAAATATGATTTTAAAAATTAATCGAATCTAAAGTTTTTGAGAAACCGGAAAAAGAATAAAGTAAAGTAAAATTTCCGGTTGCCGAAAATCGTTCACAAGTTGACAGAAACCCACGTATGTAAGCAATTCAGCCCAATAACTCGTTATTGTTTTTGAAATTTAGTAAAAAAAAGTTGATTTCAATTTTTAACACAGATGCAATAGTCCCTTATTCTCCATTTACGAAAAAGTAAAAAAATAATCAATCTTTTTAAATATTAAAACAAATAAAAAATTGTATTAATAAGTTTTTTAATGCAGTGAAAATAAGAAAATAAATCAGATTTGATTTCTTATTTAAAAAAAAAAACAGCTATGGGGCTCATGCGATCTCTTACATATTTTAGTGACCGAATATTTGCCACAAACCCACAAACAAACAGACGTTGCGAACCAAGTAAAAGCCTGTAATTAAAAAAGCAAACAAATTACCTGACAGTGTCACAAGACACGTGACCAACATAAGGCCTAAAACAAGGGCAATAACCGAGGCTCTCATCGTGATGGTAGCTTCAACTTTTGTTTTACCTGTAGGGAAAAAGGAGAGGGAGGGGATAAACAATATCCAGGTGTCTTGTATAGAGTTTAAACCATTTCTACGAGTTGACCCAGGGCGTAGCATTCGCCGCTATTTAGTTGTTTTATTTTCTACTTTTCAGTAATTCATAGTGTGAATTCGACACTACCAATACAGCGACTGAAAATATTTTGCTTTAAAACACTATCAGTAGCTTGTGAAGGACGATAAACACCCCTCATCCCCCACTCCACCCCCCCCCCCCCCCGTGAAAGCAGCCTCCTCTTAGTTACCTCCCCTAAGTTTCTAATCGTTTAAAAACTAAATTACCTGCCCCTAATAGCCGTCACTAATTCGACCCGGCTCTACGATTGTAAACATTTGGCGTGAACCACAGCTCACCAGACTGGTGGGGGGTGGGAGGGATATGACTAGAGAGCGGGATAGGAACGGCTAAGCCCTTACGCGGTGGTGTCTCGCATGGTCCATACGTAGAGAATTATATATATAGATAATTCATTTAAAGTCTTTCATAAAAAAAGTCACGAGTTTAAGCGACCCGACCGCTCATACTCCCTACCCCCACCCCACCCCTATACGAAACATTAATAGCCTATATTTCCTTCTTCGGAGCAGATAGTCAACAGGGAAGATGAAGTAGAGTTCATCCTTTTCTGTAAAAGAGATTACATGAAGGGTAGTGTGTCAGTCCTAAGTCCAGGTGCGTTTACTTTCAGTAACGTTACCCTCCACTCCGTCACGTCATGCAAACCCGAATCAGGGATCTAAACTCTGAACACGCTTCCCAATATATATATATATATATATATATATATATATATATATATATATATATATATATATATATATATATATATATATATATATATATATATATATATATATACATATATATAGGCTTATATATATTTATTTATTTATGTGTATATGGCCTACGCTTTTGTTTCAAAACTTGTTATGCTAATTATAATTAACAAGTAAAAACTATACAACTTTTCAAAGCAAGAAAGTATAATTAACAAAATTATTTCAAGATTTGGATTCAATTGAAATGAACACATGCGAAAATTATGCTTTCGTGACACAATTAGTGTAGGCCTAAAACAAAGGCATCGCCAATTACTATATTTACGTTATGTATAAGCTAACATCTTCTATACTTACACTTGCACAGGAAAAAGCGTCTAATTCCAAGAGCTGTTGTAATTTTTACTTTTATCTCAACTTACTTTTGTACTTTAACTCAAATCGATGTTGTTGTTTTTCAAGCCTCGCTAGAAAATGAGATAAGCGACCATTTTTGAGCTAATTAATTAACATGAGAGTGACCAGTTAGAATGTTGTGAATGTCTCAGCTCCATTTTTAAAAAATGTCATTTTACTTACCATCCTTGGTGTTAAAGGCATAAGACAATGTGTTGATGGGTTTTATTATTTACATTTAGAAGATAGTAGTGATTTCTAATCAATATTATGAACTTTTCAATAAAACAAAGGCGAGATTATTATAATCCAGCCAGGAATTAGCTGGTAAACATCATTAGGCACAGCTGGACGCCTACCTGTGGAAGTGAAGGGCGACAACAATAAGGTAACACTTAAACACAAACACACACACACACACACACACACACACATATATATATATATATATATACTAGGCATACTGCCTAGCTTCGCTTAGGTTTTCAAAAAAGTTGGGGAATTGAATGATTAATTAATAGGTGATTGGCTGCTATCTTAAATGCTTAGGGCCTATATTTTTACAGTGGAGTATTTTAATGTCACTGAAATAATCGTTGGAATATTCGCAAACTTATTACTTGTACGGTTATTAGAACTGCAAGGGTTTTCTTAATATTATCAATCAAATATTATAATAAATTACTTTCGCAATTAATTTATACAATTACAGTTCAATGCAAAACTTAATTCGTAACAAAAAATTTATTTAAAACAATGCTATACTTTATGATTTTTGTTTTTTTCTTAAAAGAGTATACAAAATATTTAAAAATTATTACATTAAAAAGTTACCTCCCCTGTTCAAAGACCAAATGACCAAATCTTGTATAATGAGAATTTCACTCGCGGTCATTTTTAGCCCTCTAAGAAGGCTATAAGTCTGACCAACAGTTTTCCATACGGCGTAGTCAGCTTTTGAGGTGTATACAAAAAATTAGTCAGATGTAAAGACGGTAAGTGCCCTCAAATCCGTTTTGAAATCACCCTCTGTTTTTTCTATAAAATACAAAGATTATATAGGGAAATACGACTGGTCAGTTTTGACCCATTTAACGAATTTTCCCGGACATGGCGAGTTTTTTGGGACACCCCAAGGCGTTCTCCTACCACCTCACAAAATTTCAAGGGGGGTCGTCGGAGGAAATTTTTTTTCGTAATAGAGCTCATATAAAGAGAATTTCACTCGCGGTCACTTTTTAGCCCTCGTCGAGGGCTTTGAGTGAAACCGACAGTTTTCCCTAAAGGTCAAGCCATTTACCTAAGAGCATGCAAAACATTAGCCAGATGTAAAGACGGTAAGTGCCTTAAAATCCGTTTTGAAATCACCCTCTGTTTTTCCCATAAAATACAAAGATTATATAGGGAAATACGACTGGTCAGTTTTGACCCATTTAACGAATTTTCTCGGACATGGCGAGTTTTTTGGGACACCCCAAGGCGTTCTCCTAACACCTCACAAAATTTCAAGGGGGGTCGTCGGGGGAAATTTTTTTTCGTAATAGAGCTCATATAAAGAGAATTTCACTCGCGGTCACTTTTTAGCCCTCGTCGAGGGCTTTGAGTGAAACCGACAGTTTCCCCTAAAGGTCAAGCCATTTACCTTAGAGCATGCAAAAAATTAGCCAGATGTAAAGATGGTAAGTGCCCTAAAATCCGTTTTGAAATCACCCTCTGTTTTTCCCATAAAATACAAAGATTATATAGGGAAATACGACTGGTCAGTTTTGACCCATTTAACGAATTTTCCCGGACATGGCGAGTTTTTTGGGACACCCCAAGGCGTTCTCCTACCACCTCACAAAATTTGAAGGGGGGTCGTCGGAGGAAATTATTTTTTTTCGTAATAGAGCTCATATAAAGAGAATTTCACTCGCGGTCACTTTTTAGCCCTCGTCGAGGGCTTTGAGTGAAACCGACAGTTTCCCCTAAAGGTCAAGCCATTTACCTAAGAGCATGCAAGAAATTAGCCATATGTAAAGACGGTAAGTGCCCTCAAATCCGTTTTGAAATCACCCTCTGTTTTTCCCATAAAATACAAAGATTATATAGGGAAATACGACTGGTCAGTTTTGACCCATTTAACGAATTTTCCCGGACATGGCGAGTTTTTTGTGACACCCCAAGGCGTTCTCCTACCACCTCACAAAATTTCAAGGGGGGTCGTCGGAGGAAATTTTTTTTCGTAATAGAGCTCATATAAAGAGAATTTCACTCGCGGTCACTAGCAGAAACCGTTGATAATTTTAAAACTACTTTTTCGTAATCTACATACATAATTCTTAACAAAAACTTCTCTGCCGTCTTGTTCTTCTGTATTCTTGTTGCCTACACAAAAATGTCAAGGGTCCTGAGGGCAAAGTATTACTTTTGTTAAATTAAAACTCGTTTTTGCCTTCATTATGACTTAACCTTGTTTTTACTTTCTCGTATATACGTAGTATAGAGAAAGTATTGTAATCGTGCAAAAAAAAAAAAATCGAGATTTTTACAAATCTCGACGTTTTACACCTCACTGATACGGAAAAACATAATTTTGCAATCTTGTCCGTATGTCTGTGTGTGTGTGTGTCTGTCCGTGTGTGTGTCTGTCCGTGTGTAAACACGATAACTTGAGTACCGTTACAGCTAGATTGATGAAATTTCATATATAAGTATTTTATCAAAATCGTAGATCCGTATCAACTTTTGAGCGATTTCCGATAACCGGAAGTGGTACTTTTCCTACTTTGAATTTTTTTAAAGCCTATAACTTGAGTACTATTTCAGATAAATGAAATTTCACATGTAAGTAAAAGATCTAATTCTCTACCTTCTATTAAATTTTGAGTAATTTCCGTTGACAGGAAGTAGTAATTTACGCTACTTCCGATTTCTCAAAAAACTAATGTAAATTTTAAAAGTACTAATAATATTGCGCACTATTATGCGCTTTTTTATTTCGCGTTCACTTGGTGTGCAATTAATTTGTCTACGAGATTTTATTCTATTTTTAAAACTTTAAGTATTTAAAATGGATTAAAAATCATGTCTATAGCCCGAGTTCCCATCCCCTGTTATTTTATATAAAAATATTCGAGAAAGTTTAGGGGAGATCACTACCGGTTTATTTTATTTTAATAAACATTCTTCAGTATGTTTCCCTTTTAGCTTTCTCTTTTTTTCCCTTTCCCTTTCCTTTTTTTTTGTTGAAGTAATGTACAGAAACAATTCAAATCCGATAGAATTCAATAGCATAACCAGAATCAAATACGTTGCACTAGAGTTCTTAGCCACTTGATTTTAATCAGGAGCGTGAACTCTGAATAAAAAAAAACGTTTTACACCGACACACGAGAACACAGACACACACACATTTACGTAACGACGTTAAGCATGTAACATAAGGATTAGCCGAACATTGCAATACTTGAACCTAATGACCCCACGTGATTGATTTCATTGAAGAAATTTGCAATTTTCGTAACCCGACAGTGTTTGTGTGGAACAAAAGGGGGGGGGGGGGGGTCTGGCCTTTCAGTTGATTGTTCTATATTTTTTTTTTGGTGAGAGACCGGGGAGGTTATATATATATATATATATATATATATATATATATATATATATATATATATATATATATATATATATATATGTATATATATATATATATATATATATATATATATATATATATATATATATATATATATATATATATATATATAATCCCATGATGATACAATATACATTAACGAACATTAATGATTAGAACAGTCGGCTAGGTCGTGAGGCTAGGGCAGATGGCTAGTACATGTGGCTAGAAAATAGAACTAGATCATGTTCCCAACACGTCTACACCAGCAATTACCATCCGAGGTTTTAGTCAGGAGTGTTCATCCAACTGTGGGTCGTTCCACCAAGGTGTTGCACAGCGGTGCGTCAGAGATAATGATGTTGCTCATCGGTGCGTAAGAGATAATGATGTTGCTCATCGGTGCGTAAGAGATAATGATGTTGCACAGACCAGCAACAAGGGTTAGATGAAATAGTTGACGGCAACATCTGTTGTTTTTCTGACAACTCGACATGATTGGCAAGGCCGACTTTATTGAGATACGCAGGGATTAATAATCACAAGTGACTTGGAAAAGCAATATATATATATATATATATATATATATATATATATATATATATATATTATATATATATATATATATATATATATATATATATATATATATATATATATATATATATATATATATATATATATATATATATATATATATATATATATATATATATATATATATATATATATATATATATATATATATATATATATATATATATATATATATATATATATATATATATATATATATATATATATATATATATATATATATATATATATATATATATATATATATATATATATATATATATATATATATATATATATATATATATATATATATATATGATAGAGAGAGACAGTAACTTAGACTAATTAAAGTTTAAAAATCAACGAACAGTGAATTAAAAAAAAGTATTTTTATTTCATTTGCAGTTGAAAGGGAGATAATTTTGTATGATACAGTTGGGTCTCAGAATTGGCGCTCTCTGTGGAAAAATGAGTTAAAACCATAGTTAACAAGAGACATTAATTAATAACCAATGTTGGGTTTTAGTTTCATACTTAAAAATGTTGCATTGAATGATCAACCTGAATTACTGCTATTTTCTTATTATTTACGAAAATGAACTCGATTAAATAGCGCAAACTTTACAAGTTATTTCTGCCCGGAGATCCTGTAAGATTCACTAAACCACTTTACTTTATTAAAGGAATATAACTTTTACTTCCCCCTTACGTAATGTGGCCGCTGTTTCAAAGAGCTCCACTGAAGACATTTGGACTATAATTTTAATGTATTTTTACGATTAGTGACACACAACACTTGTCTTACCATTATTAACATGGGCATGGCGCGGTCACACAAATACACCCAATGCCACCAAGGAGGGGATTAGCTGGAGAAATATTAAATTAGCCATGTTGAAATGATAAATGATTAGTTAACTATAAAGATTTATTACAGAAGTGATATGAGGGTAATTTATCTTACACAAAATATCTCAATATAAAGTACATCATAGAAGATCTCAGAGACAAAATATCTCATGAAAAAATCTCATAGACAAAATTATTTCATGACAAAAGATAGTCATCATCTTTTCCCATTCGTGCCCAAGACACATGGGTCAGATGAAGTAGAGTTCATCTGTTTTAGGGACCTCGGCATATGAAAGGATAGCGAGGTCAACAATATGCCCAGCCGCCTTTGTTTTCCTTAACGTGAGTTGGGTACCCATCAGAGCTGGGTGGACTCTTGGACGGTCTACTGACGTGAACCCGGATTCGGGTTAGCTGTCGAGCAGTCTAGCACTCTACCGCTAGGACACGACAAAAGCTATTAAGGACATCATATCATTAGCTAAGATTATTATTATAACATTTACTTAATTATAAGAAGCTACACCTCTAGTACTTAAGAAACGCTTGTAATATTACATCTATTACATGTAAATATTTTAAATAGAATTTATTATTATCTTGTCACATGCACCGAATCTTTAAAAAAAAATATTTTTTAAAAAATAACTTTAAAAATGAGCCTGTTATGACGTAGTGGTGCAGATGTAACTCTGGTAATGTTACAGATCGTGGCCAATACAAAACCACGACTTTTAACGCCAAAGTATTTAATCTTGGACCAGTAAAGCTGGTAGTCTCCAAACATACAAGAGTTACCCGTAGGGCTGGTCCAGTCTCTTACACTTAACACATGAAATGTACGTATTTTAAATGTGAATGTTATATAAGCTCTGTGAAGAAGATTTGCTGATGGAAAACATACACCTGAACAGATGTTTTAATACTAAAAGCTGAAGTTATAAAAACCTACTGTTGAAGAACTGTTTGACTTGAAGTTATAAAAAAATGAAAACTTAACAGCTTCTTTTTTTCGAGACAATTTTTTTCACAATACAAAGAAAAAATCAAAAATTTAAATACAAATAATATGAGTATCATTTGAACAGAGCATCTAAACCGATGCATGGTGTATATAAAATTATGTAGCACATTACTTATAAACTTTTGTAGCACATTAATTACAAACTTTTGTAGTACATTACTTATAAACGTTTGTAGTACATTACTTATAAACTTTTGTAGTACATTACTTATAAACTTTTGTAGTACATTACTTATAAACGTTTGTAGTACATTACTTATAAACTTTTGTAGTACATTACTTATAAACTTTTGTACTACATTACTTATAACCTTGTGTAGTACATTACTTATAAACTTTTGTAGCACATTACTTATGGACAACTCACCGGTGGCGGCTACGATGAAGTAGCATACGGTGGCGACAACAACAACGGCGGTGATAATGGCCTTCATCTTTCGGTTACAAATTTGATGGTTTTAGCCTTCAATTAGATTTCGACCTTCTTATACTGTTGCCAGTTTATTTTTTTTTAAAGGATTGACATGGGAAAATCTACACCTGTTTTTTTTAACTGCCACACTTTTCTTATCTGCTTGTTGTGGTGTGTTAATTGCCGGTATTTAAACTGACCTGGTTTTTAACTAATATCACGGCCATTTGAGTGAAAATCGTGACAGTTTTGAAATAGAAAAAACTGCAATTGACATATGTTTGTTGTATCGATCTTATTTTAGTTTACACCACCAGGCACTACATATTTCATGTGAAAATTTATTTTGAAAATGTTTTTTATTTTAATTTCAAGTCACGTTAACTTGGCATTTGTTTGATGATATTAAAATTTTAAACAAAAACTTGTAAAATATATATATTCCCATTCCGGTGTCATCCTGTCCATTTCCTGATATCGTCTCGATGTCATTATTGATCCAGGGGGAAATAATCCCGTACGCTTCCTCATAGTTTATAAATAGTCCAGGTAATATTTAAAAAAAAGGTTTGAAATATATACATTACAGAGCAATTTTCGCACCATCTCAGTTGTACACAGAGTGTGCTAAGTTTATACTATTACATTAGATGTTGCTGTATCAGTTTGGTGTCTACCTGGTGGCTCCACTGTTGTTTTTAACTTTGTCGTCAAACAAGTAGATCGATTGTTTCATCGATTTGTTACCGTACGAGTAGATATATTGGTATATTGATCAGGGGAAGCTACTCTATTAGACTCTATGGTGTGGTATTAACACTCGAGTTGTCACACAATTGCAGGCTATTTGATTATAGGACTATCTACTATCTAATATTTTTTGTATTGTTATAAATGCAAAACCAATACACTTGACCGTAACTTACACTTCCTTGATGAGAAGCATTGGTATGAGATGTAATCTGCATAATGTTTATGTTTTTTTTTTTATTATTCATCATAATTGTACAAGACGTCTTTTGTTGGTTTTATTTTTGATCATTTGGTTTTTATTTGTTCTTGTAAATACACAATTTATTTTTGAAATTATTTAGTCTAAGCCTTCATGAAACATTATTTTTTTACTGTCGACTAATTACAATTACAATACGTGTACATTTGACTGTTGTCGCCAGGCATAGAGAATTGATGATCTTTAAATGTAAAAAAATCTACTTCAAATTAGCTTAGGTTTTTATAAGGGTTGCAGTACTTTATATTTTGTAAAAAAATATAGATCTAGTTCAAAATTTTAATGAACTACTTCACTGTAAGGTAGAAGTCAGCCAGACAAACGAAGCAGGTTGGACCGTTGAACTCATTAATTAAACAAACGGTCGGTAACACCTGTGATTAGATTAGATAATTAGTAGACGGTTATTGGCGTAAGCTGCTGAAATTAACTTTTTGAAACAGTGGATTAAAAAATAAAATTATGATAGATAATTTTGTATTTCCTTGGTGTGTTTGTTATCAATCAGAATATAGATGTTTGTCTATTTTTAGACGGAGATTGTTTGGCTGTTATTTTATGTACTATAAAATTAACATGAGCATGACGTTGTGGCTCAGCTAGACTGCTAACCAGTAAGTCTCGAGTTCGAATCCGGGTTCAAGTCATTAGAATCTCCCTGATTCCACCCAGCTCTGATGGGTACCCAACTCAATTTAGGGAAAGTAAAGGCGGCTTGGCACAGTGCTGACAATATTATCCCTTCATATGCCGAAGTCTCAGAAACAGGTGAACTCTACTTCACTTGCCCCATGGGCCATCAAGTTTGAAAGATTACTTTACATTGTGTGACTGAAACGGACAGCTTGATATTTTGCAGAAGTGTCTTTCTTTTTTTTTTAACTGAATACCTATCTTCGATTTTAGCTGATATGTATTTGGTATTAACTGCAATGTCTTTGGGTTTATCAGGTCTGTCTTAGTTTTTAACAACACTGTTCTGTGTTTACATTTATGTCTAGGATTTCTGTAGGCGTGTTTTTGTACTTTCTTTCTTGTTTTATGTGCCAGCTGTTTTATTCCTTCTTTGTTAGGTCGGGGTAAAACAGGAATGAGAAACCATGTTTATACGGATACATTTACGTTAAAATCTTAAATAAATTACAGATACTGTTAGGTTTTTCATTAGTTAGACAACGCCAACAGTGTTAAGAAAACGACATGTACCCAGTTGCATTTTTATTTTGATTTAAACAGGTGTGTACCTGTTGTTGTACTGAACGACCTTGGTTAAACACACCAGCCCTCAGTAAAGTGACGGCTGATGTGTACAACGCGACAACAACAGGATATACGTGTACACATTCGTACAGAAAACGGTTGAACCGTGTGTACGAGCTTTTGATGTGTACTGGAGTACACAGAGAAAGGGTTAATTTTAATTAGTGTGAAAATTGGTGGTTGCCATCGGCGTTTTCAAATCGTGTTTCAATTATTTTTTTTTCAGATTGAATGTTTGAAAGATGAGGCATTGAAAGGGTATGAACAACGCGGCATAGCGACCAATTTTGACGCCCTGGACGAACTATCAATTTTGCGATCCCCCTTTAGCAGTCGATATTGAAAACTTCGATTGTGTGAAATTTTGTGGGTAATTTTGTAATATTTCAATGCAGGTTAAAATGAGCTGTTAAACTTTTGTTCAGTCGCGTTTCGCGACCTCTCAATGTCAGCGCCCCACCCGCCTTCTCCTAGCTACGCCTCTGATGTAGTAGCTTAGCAACGTATTCTTGACAACACAATCCAATGTTTGGTTCTTGTTTCACTTATTTACACCGACTGCTGCGCCTTTCAGTACACATGGCAAGAGATATACGAGTACTGCCAAGATAACTGCATTATGTTCAAATGTTGATTGGTGTTCAGTCAGTGGCATAGCTACCGTAAAGCTAGCGTAATCAAGGCGTAGGGTCCCAAGGCAAATAGGGGGCCCTGTTTCGAAAGTTTGAGGGGGGGGGGTGCAAATCTAAAGTCTGAGGGGGGGTGCAAATCGAAAGTTTGAGGGGGGGGGGTGCAGATCGAAAGTTTGTCCCCGGTCGCCGGAAGGGTCGCTACGCCTCTGAGGGGCCCACTAACACTTTTTGCATAGGGGCCCAAAAATCCTAGCTACGCCACTGTGTTCAGTAACTATTTCTACTGTTGAACATTTGTGTTCGAATGTATAAACAACTCAAAAGACTACGACAATGTTGGCATCGTACTAAAACAAAAGAATCGCTTTTTATTAAAACGTGTTTTGCAAACACGCTATTAGTAGATAAGTGTATGTTCTAAAGAGATAGGCCTACCTTAATTTTTTTTTTTTAAATGTAGCCTTAGCGATCTTCGTTCTCTTCTTATGAATAATCAGTGGGGTGCTGAAGCTCATAATACTCAAATCTCATGCCTTATATAAGCTCACCACTCATCAATTACATTCAGAGTTTTTGAGTATCTTTGGGAATTATGTAGGAGGTGATAAACTAACCCTATGACAAATTAATAAGTCAGCAACAACGCAGAGGCTTAGCTATTTTGTTTTGTTTAACATTCACATGAAAACACTACATCTTAAGTTGACATGTTATGTTAGTTGTTCTGACATTACTTCCGTTCCATCATACCTGTAGATAAAGCATATATATATATATATATATATATATATATATATATATATATATAAATATATATATATATATATATATATATATATATATATATATATATATATATATATATATATATATATATATATATATATATATATATATATATATATATATATATATATATATATATATATATATATATATATATATATATATATATATATATATATATATATATATATATATATAGGTAGCTCCTAGAACAAACGCCTTATTTAACAAACATTCAGTGACGCACAAAAAATTTGAAAAGCAGTAGAAACTATGTCGTGGTTGTTAATGAAGTTTTCTACCACTTTTCTGATGTTTGTGATAATTAATAAAGTATCTTCTATCTATATATATAATTCTCTTCTGGGAGTCGCTAGAAAACAAGCTGCAAACGCGCCTAGAAAACAAGCTGTAAACGCGCTCCCTACCTCCCCACCCCTACAAGGTTTTAGTGAGCTGTGTTCACTCTAAATGTATACAAGCAGAGCCAACGATTTTAAACGTAGGGGGGGGGGGGGGGGGGAGGGGAGGGGGAGGGGGAAGGAAAGGGGGGGGGGGGGTTATGGTCCTTAACGAGCTACTTATAGTGTTTTAAAGAAATATTTTCAGTGGCAGCGTTGGTACTGTCGAATTCACAAATTTTGAATTACTGAAAAGTAGAAAAAAAAAACTAAATAGCGGCGTATGTTATGCCGCGGGCCGGCTCGTATATATAATTCTCTTCTGGGATCAGTTAGAAAACAAGCTGCAAGCGCCTCCTTGCAGTCCCCTCTCTTTCTCTCTATCACTATCACTGCCACCCCAACCCACCCCAACATTGTCTGGTGAGCGGTGTTCACTCTAAATTTTTACAAAGCTAAATGTTTACAAATCGTAGAGCCGTACAGCCGGGTTTCTATTATGGGCAGATAATTTAGTTCGATTTTAAACTTACAGGAGGTAACTAAGAAATAACTAAGAGGAGGCTGCTTTCACGGGGGGGGGGGGGTGTAGTATCGGGGTTAGGGGAAAGGGGGGGGGTTAGTGTTTTAAAGCAAATATTTTCAGTGGCAGCATTGGTACTGTCGAATTTACAAATTATGAATTACTGAAAAGTAGAAAATAAAACAACTAAATAGCGGCGTATGATACGCTGCGGGTCGGCTCGTTATGGATAGTCAACATCAGTCAACAAGGTGCTTGGATTGGCTGTTTTTATACCCGCCCAGTTCTCCCTCCCTCCCCCCCCCCCCGTTCTCCCTCCCTCCCCCCCCCCCCCCATTCCACTAAAAACAAAGTAGATTTACCCAGGCTGAAAATTGCACCCGTGAAATCGAACGTAATTGTAGTGTTACATTTTTAAAATGCATATCTATGTGTTTATTTTTCAATTGTACATCAATATATTTCCATTCTTTGTTATTTCTAATTATTGTTACATCAAGTGGTAAATAAACTGTAATATTACCGAGTAGCCTATACGTTTTATCATGTATTTAACCTCAGTGTGGTACAATAGACCGGTTATCTGAAGACAAGACAAACGACCGAATACAGAGCTATTCTCACCCCGTATTTTGTGTTGTCCCAGTCAGTCTACATGTCAACAATAAAAACCATTTACCTTTGATTTCCTCCTACTTGAACACAACTAACAACATAAGTTAGTGATACAAACAAATAAAACCATTTACCTTTGATTTCCTCCTACTTGAACACAACTAACAACATAAGTTAGTGATACAAACAAACTAAAAACATTTACCTTTGATTTCCTCCTACTTGAACACAACTAACAACATAAGTTAGTGATACAAACAATATAAACCATTTACCTTTGATTTCCTCCTACTTGAACACAACTAACAACATAAGTTAGTGATACAAACAATAAAAACCATTTACCTTTGATTTCCTCCTACTTGAACACAACTAACAACATAAGTTAGTGATACAAACAAATAAAACCATTTACCTTTGATTTCCTCCTACTTGAACACAACTAACAACATAAGTTAGTGATACAAACAATATAAACCATTTACCTTTGATTTCCTCCTACTTGAACACAACTAACAACATAAGTTAGTGATTCAAACAATAAAAACCATTTACCTTTGATTTTCTCCTACTTGAACACAACTAACAACATAAGTTAGTGATACAAACAATAAAAACCATTTACCTTTGATTTCCTCCTACTTGAACACAACTAACAACATAAGTTAGTGATACAAACAATAAAAACCATTTACCTTTGATTTCCTCCTACTTGAACACAACTAACAACATAAGTTAGTGATACAAACAATAAAAACCATTTACCTTTGATTTCCTCCTACTTGAACACAACTAACAACATAAGTTAGTGATTCAAACAATAAAAACCATTTACCTTTGATTTCCTCCTACTTGAACACAACTAACAACATAAGTTAGTGATACAAACAAATAAAACCATTTACCTTTGATTTCCTCCTACTTGAACACAACTAACAACATAAGTTAGTGATACAAACAATAAAAACCATTTACCTTTGATTTTCTCCTACTTGAACACAACTAACAACATGGGTTGGTGATACAAACAATAAAAACAATTTACCTTTGATTTCCTCCTACTTGAACACAACTAACAACATAAGTTAGTGATTCAAACAATAAAAACCATTTACCTTTGATTTCCTCCTACTTGAACACAACTAACAACATGGGTCAACGATACAAATAATTGTACATATGCCTACTATGGGATTGGCTGTTGAGAGGAAAAAAATGTAAATAATAGTTAATGACATCAATTTTAAATAAGATAAAGCACAAACTCGGTCAGTCTCCATTAAGTGGATATATATATATATATATATATATAGATATATATATATATATATATATATATATATATATATATACATATATGTATATATATATATATATATATATATATATATATATATATATATATATATATATATATATATATATATATATATATATATATATAAAACATGAGTTCCCGAAGATTCTATAGAAAAAAATTGTTGGCATTTGAATGCCATTTAAATACAATGAATTTATGACACAAGTAAAAAATAAAATATCATTAACTGCATTGAATTTCAGACATAACTTTAATGATCTTGATACGAAAATGTTGAGATGTCAGTTGTTTGTTTCAAAGTCGTTTGTGATTTGCTAACATCGTAACAAAGTTATATGTCATTCTTTAAAGCCCGTAAAACAAAGTGATTTTCTATTTGTTAAGATCAAAGGGAAAGCCTTGAATGATTCATGAAAACGTGTAATTATTTGTCGTTTTAAAAAAATGAAAATTGTAACAAAGCATTTGGGAATATTTTTTTTTTAAATTGGAGAATGTTTGCGATGTGAAAATATCAAAAATATGTGTATGACTTGTATGACTTCCACAATTTGTGACAATTAATTTTTACGACATCGAAAATGTGTGACATTTCATGTGAATGACTTCCAAAATCTGTGACATGTAATTTTTATGATTTCCAAAATTTGTGACATTTCACGAATATGACTTCTAAAATTTTTGACGTTTAATTTTCATGACATCTAAAATGTGTGACATTTCTCGTGCATGACTTCCAAAATGACTCACCACTCACGGCAACAAAGAAGTAGCAGATTGTGGCTACAGCTACAGCAGCGGTGATAATGGCTTTCATCCTGTCGGTTTTAATGTCTTAATAAATTCAACAATTGCAGCTACGATCTGAAGCGTTTTATAACTGTTCAGGTTTTCTAAAGTCGTGACTCTTTCTTTTAAATGAAGATCTTTATTTTAATCTATACATGCGCTAATTTTCTTAACAGTTTTTTTTTCTAATGTGAAGGCTGGAGTTTGATAGGCTACACCGAAAAACACAATTTCTCTAATTAGGAAATCATAACGATCCAACGACCTATTTTTTATGACTAGTGGTGTATGTTGACTGAGGCGAAAGTATTGACATTTAACTTTGAGGTGTTTAACTAAACGGCAAGAGGAAAAAAGAAAAACGACAAAACAAACAAACAAACAAAAAAGATGCAAGCGTCAGGACGATTACAAACAAACGTAAATGACTATTGGCTATATAGTTAGTTTAACTGATTAATTGGAAAACTCTAAATGCAAAGGACTAAATGTAACCTAGTTTGATTACATTTGAAAATGTAGACAATTTTTTTAAAAATCAGTTTGATTAAAGGATAGACAAACATTCTTTCACAAAATAGGTCATTGTCTTTCATTTTAAATAATTGCCCAACTTATACATACACACACACACAAAAAGAAAATCAAATACACATATTAGCATACTTTTTTAAAAATTTAAGGTTTTATTTTACTAGTGGGCGTTTTAAAACAACAAGCGTCTCCTTTACACAAAAAAAATTTTTTTTTTAGTTGTAGTTAGGTAGTATTCTCACGGCAAACTACAGGTAATGAGTATGGGTTCCATGACAAATGATCTCAGGGCAAATGATCTCAGACAAAATAACTCAGACAAAATATCTCACGGACAAATTATCTGAGGACAAATGATCTCAGGACAAATGATCTCACGGACAAAAGATACCAGAACAAAATATATCAGGACAAATTATATCATCGACAAATGCGTGTGTGAGTGGCTTTAAGCATGAGAGCGAGTGTGTAGGCTTGTACATGTGTATCTGGGTGTATGTATGTGTGCGTGCGTTCGTATGTTTATGTGTGTGTTTACTTACAAGCATAACTAAGTTTTCGCACACGGTCGTACATTATTACACATGTTTAAACACAATTGAGGCCTGCAGTGTTCACCAACATATTAGGAAAAATAGAACGGATGAATTTTGTCAATGAGAAAAATAACAATTACTCAGGGTTATTTATGTTGGGATTGCTAATGAGATGTTTTATCGTAATGATGGGACGGCGTGGCGTAGCGGTGGAGCAAAAGACACGAGAAGTCTCGAGTTCGAATCCGGGTTCAAGTCAGTAGAACTTGCCTGAGTCCACTCGGCTTGGATGGGTACCTGACTCGCGCTAAAGAAAGTAAAGGCTGGGTATAATGTGGATCACACTATGTCTTTATATGCCGAGGTCACAGAAACTGGTGAACTCTACTTTTACTTTGTTCGTCTCACACACCCACACACACACATCCACACACATCCACACACATCCACACACGCACACACACACACACCCAAACTCACCCACCTACACATACACCCATATCCGCATCCATACGCACACGCAAACGCACGCACACACACACATATAAAATAAATACAAAACCCATACACTTGACCATAACTTCTTTGACGAGAAGCATTGGCGACGTAACATGCATTATGTTAATGTGTCTTTTAATTATTCATCCTTATTGTAAAAGACGTTTTTTGTTGGTTTTATTTTTGTTCAATTTTTTTTTGTTCTTGTAAATATAATTTTTAAAATATTATTTAGTGTAAGCCTCCATGAACCATTTATGGTTTTACTGTCGATTAATTAAAATTATAATAAGTGTACAATTGACAGTTGTTTCAATGTAAAAAAAATATATTTCAAATTAGCTTAGGTTTTTATAATTGATGGCGTACTCTATATTTCGTGAAAATATAGTTCGAAAATTTTAAGTTGATACTTCACTGTTAGGTAGGTGGGATTGTTTGGCTGTTATTTTATGTTATATACATTTAATAGTGACTGATATGGACGTTGTGGCTTAGCCAGACTGTTAACCCGAAAGTCTCGAGTACGAATCCGGGTTCAAGTCCTTGATTCCACTCAGCTCTGATGGGTACCTAACTCACGTTAGGGAAAGTAAAGGCGGCTGGGCATAATGCTAACCACACTATCCCTTCATATACCGAAGTCACAGAAACAGGTGAACTCTACTTCACTTGCCCCAATGGACCTTCAAGTTCGAAAGGGTACTTTGCTTTGTGTGACTGAATCGGACAGCTTGATATTTTGCAGAAGTGTCTTTCTTTTTTTTAATTGAATACCTATCTTCGATTTTAGCTGATATGTTTTTGGTATTAACTGAAATGTCTTTGGGTTTAGCAGGCCTGTCTTAGTTTTGAACAACACTGTTCTGGGTTTACATCCATGTCTAGGATTTCTGTAGACGTATGTTTGTACTTTCTTTCTTGTTCCATGTGCCAGCTGTTTGATTCTTTCTTTATTAGGTCCGGGTAAAAAAAGGAACGAGAAGCCATGTTAGGTTGACCCTTGTGTTTAGACGGATACAGTTACGTTTAAATCTTGAATAAATTACATGCACTGTCAGGATTTTCATTAGTTAGACAACGTCAACAGTGTTAAGAAAACGACATGTATCCTGTTGCATTTTTATTTTTATTTAAACAGGTGTGTACCTGTTGTTGCACTGAACGACCTTGGTTGTACACCCCAGCCCTCGGTAAAGTGACGGCTGATGTGTGCAACGCGACAACAGGATATACGTGTACACATTCGTACAGAAAACGGTTGAACCGTGTGTAAGAGGTTTTGATGTGTACTGGAGTACATAGAGAGAGGTTAAGTTTAATGAACGCAAAACTGTTTTTGTTGTCATTGGTGTATTCTTATCGTGTTTCAATTTGTGTTTTGATCAGATTAAATGTTTGAAAGATGAGGCATTGAAAGGGTATGAACAACGCGGCATAGCGACCAATTTTGACGCCCGAGACGAACTATCAATTTTGCTATCCCCATTAGCAGTCGATATTGAAAACTTCGATTGTGTGTAATTTTGTAATTTTGCAATGCAGGTCAAAATGAGCTTTTAAATTATTGTTCCGACGCGTTTGGCGACCTCCCAATGTCGGCACCCCACCCGTCTTCTCATAGCTACGCCTCTGATGTAATAGCTTTACAACGTATTCTTGACAACACAATCCATGTTTGGTTCTTGTTTCACTTATTTACACTCACTACTGCGTATTTCAGTACACATGGTAAGAGATGTACGAGTACTGTCAAGAGAACTGTTGGTGTGCATTATGTTCAAATGTTGATTGGTGTTCAGTAACTATTTTTTTACTGCGGAACATTTGTTTTCGAATGTTTAAACAACTCAAAAGTCTTAGAAAATGCTGGCATCGTAATAAAACAAACCAATCGTTTTGTTTTATTAAAACGTGTTTTGCATCCACGCTATTAGTAGATAAGTGTATGCTGTAAACAGGTAAGCCTAACTTAATTATTTTTTTTATGTAGGCTTAGCGATCTTCGTTCTCTTCTTATGAATAATCAGTGGGATACTGAAGCTTATAATACTCAAATCTCAAGCCTTATATAAGCTCACCACTAAACAATTATGGGAATTATGTAGGAGGTGTTAAACTAATCACATGACAAATTAATAAGTCAGCAACAACGTACAGGCTTAGCTATTTTGTTTTGTTTAACATTCACGTGAAAACACTACATCTTGAGTTGACATGTTATGTTAGTTGATATGACAACATTACTTCCGTTCCATCATACCTGTAGATAAAGGTAAAGCATATATATATATATATATATATATATGTATATATATATATATATATATATATATATATATATATATATATATATATATATATATATTGGTAGCTCCTAGAACAAACGCCTTATTTAACAAACATTCAGTGACGCACAAAAAATTAGAAAAGCAGTAGAAACTATGTCGTGGTTGTTAATGAAGTTTTCTACCACTTTTCTGATGTTTGTGATAATTAATAAAGTATTATGGATAGTCAACATCAGTCAACAAGGTGCTTGGATCGGCTGTTTTTATACCCGTCCAGTTCTCCCTCCCCCCCCCCCCCCCCATTCCACTAAAAACAAAGTAGATTTACCCAGGCTGAAAATTGCACCCGTGAAATCGAACGTAATTGTAGTGTTACATTTTTAAAATGCATATCTATGTGTTGATTTTTCAATTGTACATCAATATCTTCCCATTCTTTGTTATTTCAAATTATTGTTACATCAAGTGGTAAATAAACTGTAATATTACCGAGTAGCCTATACGTTTTATCATGTATTTAACCTCAGTGTGGTACAATAGACCGGTTATCTGAAGACAAGACAAACGACCGAATACAGAGCTATTCTCACCCCGTATTTTGTGTTGTCCCAGTCAGTCTACATGTCAACAATAAAAACCATTTACCTTTGATTTCCTCCTACTTGAACACAACTAACAACATAAGTTAGTGATACAAACAATAAAAACCATTTACCTTTGATTTCCTCCTACTTGAACACAACTAACAACATAAGTTAGTGATACAAACAATAAAAACCATTTACCTTTGATTTTCTCCTACTTGAACACAACTAACAACATAAGTTAGTGATACAAACAAACTAAAAACATTTACCTTTGATTTCCTCCTACTTGAACACAACTAACAACATAAGTTAGTGATACAAACAAACTAAAAACATTTACCTTTGATTTCCTCCTACTTGAACACAACTAACAACATAAGTTAGTGATACAAACAATATAAACCATTTACCTTTGATTTCCTCCTACTTGAACACAACTAACAACATAAGTTAGTGATACAAACAATATAAACCATTTACCTTTGATTTCCTCCTACTTGACACAACTAACAACATAAGTTAGTGATACAAACAATAAAAACCATTTACCTTTGATTTCCTCCTACTTGAACACAACTAACAACATAAGTTAGTGATACAAACAATAAAAACCATTTACCTTTGATTTCCTCCTACTTGAACACAACTAACAACATAAGTTAGTGATACAAACAATAAAAACCATTTACCTTTGA